CGCAGCTCCCCGGCCGGCGCCCTCTGCCGGTAACACCCGGAAGCGCTCCGGGAGGACCCATTCCACGGAGCTGCGGAGCGCCCACGTCGGCCACGCCCACCCACCAATTGGCCCCGCCCAAGTCAATCACGCTCACCTGCCACCCATCCATAACCTCGCCCATCCGTGGTAGGCCCCGCCCCATCCACAGCTGAGCTCCATCCATCCTAATCCCTTAGCGTAGTCCCAAACTGGCAGCCCAGACTCCACTATGCCCAGACACACCTTAATTTCTGCTCTAGTTTCTTTCGCCCTCTACTTTGCCCTGAGTCCTTTTCCTCCGATTCCAGGTTTCCCCAAAATCTTCACTTGTTCTCCAACCCTCAGCAGCAAGCCTGTTGCTAAATACAAAAGGATCTGCTGCTAAAATAGGCATTTAATCATATAAGTATTAGTTTATCTTAGACATGTCACGATAGTAAGTAGGTATATGAGTGTAGAACTCTAATTCCTTCCTAATACAAATCTAATAATTAGCCCTATCATAGGGTTGTTAGGAAATTTGAATAAAATAAACTGTAAGGGTGCTTAGAAGGCTATAAAGAGCCACAGCTATTACTATAGCAAGTTTTCATTATTAAAAAATACCTTAGTAGCTCAGTGGTAGGTAGAGAGCATGTTTAAAATGAAAACAACAAAGATATGGGAGAAAAGGAGGGAGGAGAGAGAGAGAAGAGAGCATCACAGCTACTTGGGATGAAGCAGGAGAGTGCTTTAAATCCCTGAGTTGAAGACCACCAGTGTGAGCAATATGAGACTCTTCCTAGAAAAAGAAACCGGGATCTCAGAAAAGGTTCGCTTATTTCAGAATGTCTCCCCTTTGAAGGCCTCTACTTGCATTGGTAGGTTCAGAAAAGCATTTAATAAAAAGCAAGCAGCTATCATTTGGCCAGAAGACTCCAAGGAATGGTGACCCCACATTTGTGATGCAAGCATTATGGAGGCAGGAGTTCAAGGCCAACCTGGGATACAGAGTGAAACTTTGTCTCAAAACAAAAAAGGCCCACAAACTTGCATTGTTGTCAGGTATTCACCAGAGAAGACTACTCAGGCATGGGTTTAAGCCAATAGGAAGTCTTTATTAGCCAGACTAGGTGTTCAGGATCCCACTGCAGTCCTTACCCTTTTTCAGGGCGAGTTCAGGGCGAGTTTCTTTTTTTGTTTGTTTGTTTTTTTGTTTGTTTTTCTTACATACATGTCTGTGTTCGGGTGTCAGGTCCCCTAGAACAGGAGTTACATACAGTTGTGAGCCATCATGTGGTTGCCGAGAATTGAACTTGAGTCCTCTGGAAGAGCAGTCAAGTGCTCTTTACCACTGAACCATCTCTCCAGCCTGAGGATGAGCTTTCAAGCACAAAAAAAAAAAAAAAAAAAAGCCATATTCTGGGTTGACATACTTCAGTTAACAGTTAGCCCTAAGTGAACTACAGAAGCCAAAAAGTAAGGTTAATACATTTAGAGACTTTTTCAGAATTATGAACTTCAATGGATTAGGTCTTTGTTTTCATTTTGGCAGGTGATGCTGTCTACATGTTGAGTGGTATGGCCTGAACGTTACTTCCATCATGGAGTCAATTGTGCAAAGGTCTGGGTGCCTACTAAGGTCTGGAAGATTATTACAGTATTCTTAAATAGTAAATCCTGAATGCAAAAATTGCCTTATTAAATTATCAAAGATACCAGCAACAGCAATGAGATAAATGGGCTTCACGTGCTTCTGATACTGGACTGAAGGACACAATAATAATTCTGCAGCAACCACATAATTCAACCTGGGGCTAGGAATGTAGCAGTGTCGGTATAGTTTTTGCCTACCATGTATAAAGTCCTAGGTTCAATCCTCAATGCTACATAAACCAGGGATGGTGGCACCTCCCTGGAATCCCAGCACTGAAGATAGAGAGGCAGGAGGTTAAGTTCAAGAACAGAACTATACAAGTGTAATGAAGGCTGGACTGCATGAGACTCTGTACCTAAATTCAATTTTTAAAAAATATATATAAATTAGGAACATTCAACAAGTAATCAATTTTTCACATCCAGGAAAAGAAAGTCTAAAGACTGTTCCAGAGTAAATAAGAAGTTAAAAGAGACAGGAGGGTCAAAGAGATGTCTCAGTGGGTAAAGGCACATGTTGCCAAGACTGATGACTCAAGTTTGAGACCCAGGCCCCCACAAGGTAGGAGAGAACAACTCTCACTAGATGTCCTCTAAGCTCCACAAATATCATCACATCAATGATGTGACTGGGACAATATATGAGGCCACTGGCAGTGGATCCAAGATCTAACACTAATGCGCAAACTGACTTAGTGAAGCCCATTCTACATGGAGAGATACCTTGCCCAGCCTAGACACAGGGTTGTCGGGGTGGAGAGGTGGCTCAGTCCTGTCTCAATTAGATGACGGGACAGACTTTGTCGACTTCCTAGGGGAGGCCTTACCCTCTCTGTGGAGCAGATGGGAGGTGCTGGGAAGTGGAGGGAGTGGAAGGAGAGGAGGGAGGGGGAACTGGGATTGGAATGAAAAAATAAACTAATAAAAAAATGAAAAAAATACCATCACATGCAAGTACATGTACACATACATGCACACAAAATAAAGAAATAATATATGAGAGAGGAGTGTTATGTATGGACTTGGGAATATCCTGGCCGGAAAAAAAAAGGGAGAGAGTTATCATTGGGATGATAACAGTAGAGTCCTGAGTTACTAGAGACAACCCACTGAACTGTTTATAACTGTGGTTTAATTACAAAGGATTCATATATAATTAGAAAGAGGACCTTTCTCTGAATAACTGACATACAGGTATTATCAGTTTGGTTCTTCCCAATTTAAAAAAAAAAAAGCCTAATTTGCTGCCAGTAGTAGTATTTGTAGTGTCTACCAGAAACGGGCATCACATCCCCTGGGACTGGAGTTACAGATGGTTGTGAGCCTCATGTGGGTGCTGGGGATTTAGCTCAGGTCCTCTGGAAGAACAGTCAATATTCTTAAACACTGAGCCATCTCTCCTACCCTTTATGCTCTGTTCTTACACCATTCTACTGCCCAGTGTGAGTAGATGTCTAACTTTTTTTTTTTCCTACAGTGATCTTTTAACAGCTCTATCCTGCTGGATGCTACAGTCCCTCTTGCCCTATCTTACTTATTTTTCTGGAAATCCCTAAAGATGGGAGACATTTTTGTAAGGTACCTGCTGTTATCCGAAACCCTGATTTACTTTTTTTCTTAATGTTTCCCAAGTACTGAGGACTTAAATGGGGCCTTGTTTACACTAAGAAAGCACTCTACCATAGACACAGCCCAGCTCACCCATTCTTTTCATGCACCCCTTCCTGTTTTACATTGTTTCTTGGTCATTCAATTTGATGCCCACCACACTGTTCTAATATATTTAGTTAGTACCAACTGGTGCTTGGCCTGGGGTGGGATATCCCAATAGTTGAGATTCTTACCTATCATCCATCCCTGTGTTTCACAGGGTCTCATGTAGCTATGAGGTAAAAACACTACCCAGAGTCAGGTGGTGGGGGCACACACCTTTAACCCCAGCACTTGAAAGTCAGGCAAGCAGATCTGTTTGAAAACAGCCTTGTCTACATAATGAGTTGCAGGACAGCCAGGGCTACAGAGACCATGTCACCAAAAACACCAAAAGAAAGAAGGAAGGAAGGAAGGAAGAATTAAACACTTCCCAGGGTAGAGAGATGGCTCAGTGGTTAAGAGGTTTGATTCCCAGCACCCACGTGGCACTTCACAACTGTCTGCAATTACAGTTCCAGAGGATCTGACACCTCTTTCTGACCTCTTTGGACACCAGTCAAGTTTGTGGTACACATATATACTTGTGCAGGCAATAGTCCCAAAGAACAGGTCAAGCCTAACTTAGGAGTCACACACTAATTCGTAAGTTATCCAGCACCCACTGGTACCTGGTAGAGGGCTGCTTTGAATGCCCCAACTGAACATGGAGATTTTACTCTGCCTAACTTTAGCGAGACTCCTAAAGTACTGTCTAATAGCAGCATGAAAAAATATGTTACATAAGTTCCTTGCAGAAAACTTAGCTTATAGAAGCTAAATGTAATTTTCATTATCAGGGCCAGAGAGATTATTCACTAAGGGTGTTTGATGCTTGGATCCCATGTAAAAAGTCTGATGCATAGGCATGTGTTGAATCCCAGCACAGCTACAGCACAGACAAGAGAATCTCCCAGAAGCCTGAAGTACAACTAGCCTGGGGTACACAGCACAGCAACAAAAAGAGATCCTGTTTCAAACAAGGTGGGAGGTTAGGACCAGGACCAGCATATAAAGCTGTCTGCTGACCTCACCACCTATGCTGTGGCATGTCACTGGCCTCAGGTACAAATATGCATGCACACACAATTTTTTTAAGATTTTTTTATTGCTTTTAATTACATGCAGGTGTGTGTATCTGCAATTGGGAATGTGCATTTGAGTGCAGGTGCCCACTGAGACCAAAGGCATCAGGTCCCCTAGGGCTAGTTACAGATGACTAAAGTGTCTTATGTGGTTGCTGAGAACTGAACTCTGGCCCTCTGGAAGAGCAGCAAGTACTCTTTTTTGAGACAGGGTTTCTCTGAATAGCCCTGGGTGTCCTGGGATTCGTTCTGTAGACCAGGCTAGCCTCTAACTCACAGAGATCCGCCTACTTCTGCCTCCAAATGCCAGATTAAAGACATATGCCACTACTGCCAGGCTCAGCAAGTACTCTTAGCTGCTGAGCCATCTCTCCAGCCCTATAAGTAAATTTTTCAAAACTGACATTTTAGGGACAGTGAGGTGGTTCAGTACCTGATGACCTGAGTTTGAGTTTGATCCCTGGGAACAACAGTGGAAGTAAACAACCAACTTCTGCAAACTGTCCTGTGACCTACACACACACAAACACACTCAAGGGTACACACAGACACATACCATTCACAAATAAATAAATGTAATTTTAAAAATTTAATGGTATATATCAACCTTCCAGCCATATAAACACAGAAAACTACCTCTTGAATTATGTATTCAGTTCCTCCAAGAACTCCTTTGTTGCACATTATTAATGATTATATTTTACAAAATCAAATTAAATACATTCTTTCCACAAATGTGAAATGGAAATCAAGGCATCTATCAAACACTGAGTCAAGTCCTTGTTTTCTGAATTCAGCAGCTGATCATGATTCTGGCCCAGGCCCACCAGTCCATGACTTCAAATAATCCAGGATCCTTTGAGTAACCGGAACAGATTCTTCTGAATACTGTACAAATCTTTCCACATAAGACCCTTCAATGGGTTCATTTATTTCCCTTTCTAAGTCAGAGGCTTCACTTGTCAAAACAGGTGTTTCATTCCTTGAGCCATCTTTTTGCTCTACTCCATCACCTTAAAAAAAGAAAAGAACGTGAATTATTAACTTAGACACCAGTCATTAAAGTATTGAACATAAGCCAAGGTATGGTTATGCCATCCGATGTCTACACATGATGACCGTGTGAGCTTTCAAACCACTAACAGCGTTCATGACAAGTAGAATTTCCAGGTTTTTGTTTGTTTGTTTTTGGTTTTTGGTTTTTCGAGACAGGGTTTCTCTGTGTAGCTTTGGAGCCTATCCTGGCACTCGCTCTGGAGACCAGGCTGGCCTCGAACTCACAGAGATCCACCTGCCTCTACCTCCTGAGTGCTGGGATTAAAGGCGTGTGCCACCAATCCCCGGCAGAATTTCCAGTTTTTACACATGGCTTTATTGAGCCATACCTAACATATCACACAAATTCCTTTTACAAAGCACAATTCAATGGTTTTCAGTCTATTAGGTCTGAGCAATCTAGTATCACAACTGCTTTAGAGTATCTTCAACCACTAAAAGTCACCTTCCTAGCGATTACACCAAATGACTTTGTGATTCCTTCGATTTCCAGCACGTATTTGAAGTTTCCGGGAGTTCCTTTTCCACACAATAACGAGAATGATTTTAATACTCCTTGGTTGCTGTTAAGGCCTAAAACTGCTTGCTCTCTGTAAGTGACAGGGTCTCGAGGAAATGAGCAGCATTCTGGCCACCATCAGAGCCTCTAGATCCACCAGGCACTACACAGGTGAATTCACAGGTTCCAACTGAGCATGGGGACAGTGTTAGTCAATAAATAAGATCCAAGTGACAGTACTTAATAATTCCTGGAGGAGTCATGTTCTTTGCAGATTCCATCACTGCAAATTACGCATGTATCCATTTGCAGCAGTTTTCCATTACTCCAGGGTTCAAGCACTGAAGGTCGCTTTGGTGACTCCCAGGGCGATGAGCCGGAAGCAGGGGCTGCGAGGCCGATCACGCTGGGGAAAACCTACCTGACGCCTTCTGGTTCCGTGTAAAGAAAATCGCCGAGCCCAGCACCGACCAGGCGCCAATTGCGTACACGAAAGACATCCGCTTGTACCACACGGTAGCCCTCTCAGGACGCATCTCTCCACAGAGCAGGGACACAGGACTCATGTGGAGGCAGACTTTCCAAACAGTGTGTCGCAGTGCCCACCAATAAGGTAGCCAGCCCTAAACTACTTCCTGCTCCAGCCGCGATGCATCTAGGGACTCGTAGTCCACAGTTAATCCAGGCTAGGCCTATAGGCTTTAATCTAGGGAACCACGGTTTAGACAATTAACTGCCAGCTGGCGACTACACTGTATACTATATGATGGGGAGCAGATGGCGGCTTGGAAGTTCCTCGCTTGCAAATTTGAAATGGCTTACTCCGTTTCCTTTAACGGCTGTCAGATTTTGGAAGACACTGTCTGGAATTCGCTTTTCTCCTATGTACCTATCTGGAACTCTAGGTCCAATTCTTTGGGGCTTTCTTGGTCCTTTCCCAATTCCACCCTATCGCTTTTCACTCTATTGGCTTTCATTTTCCCTAATACAAAGGTGCATACATCTAAAAAAAAAAAAAAAAGCCTTCGATTCCATCGACTGTCTGGCACTGTGTTTTGTAGGTGATAGGTACCAAGTGCTGAATTCCTATAGACACATGGACCAGTGCATTGCACCCGGAGATGCTGAACAAGGTCCTGCAGGATTTATGTCTTGTTGCAGCCAATGTTTCCTGTGGGACTTTGCTCCAAATTTTGTGTCTTTAGTGCTTCTTCCAAGCATAATTTGTCTGCACACCAGTAGACTGAATAATCAGAGAGCAAGTCTGAGGTGTTTCCCCGGAGCCGGCTGGGTAACCTGCTTTGACTATTTCAGTCCCACTCAAACTTGACTTCTAAAACAATTGACACCATTGACCCTGCATGCTTCTCTGGTGGCTTCAAAAACATCTTCCCTGTTCTCTTCCAGGGCTCCTTTTACATTTATGTTTACCCTATAGAAATATATACTTATAACATTTAACTCAAAAGGGGCTGTGTGTTTAAATCTAAAAGCTAAAATGATAAACCTAGAAGCAAGACCAAAAGAAAAACCTTGGCCATCCTGGAATGGGTGAAGATTTCTTGGAATACGAAAACCATGAATCACAAAATGAAAGCTGATTAATTGGAACTAAAAATCATAGTTGAGAGAAATGAAATCAAGCCACTGAATAAAAAAAAAAAAGAAAAATAAAGGTCAGAGGTTGACATCAGGAGTCTTCCTTAATCACACTCCATCTAATTTTGTGACGTGGCCACCAGTAAGCCCAGAGATCCTGTCCCCACTCTCCAGGACTGGAATCACATGTGCTCAGCTCTGTGACTGCCTTTTTTTTTGTGGGTGCTGGGGGCCAGAGCTTGGGTCCTCCTGTTTGTGAAAGAATCACTTCATCTACTGAGCCAACTCCCCAGCCCAGCAGAGCAGCTGGAACCCTTACTGATGCCAGCAGAAAATGTTATGTTCTCTACAAGGCTGGCAGGCTTTTTCTTTTCAAAAATTATTTTTCTCTTTATGTGTCTAAGTGTGTGTGTATGCCACATATACGGGTGCATGTGAAGGCCAGAAAAAGGCATCGGATCCCCTGGAGCTGGAGTTACAGGTGGTTATGAATCATCTGACTCGAGTGCTTCGATCTCAACTCAGGTCCTCTGGAAGAAGCACTCTTGACCACTAAGCTCCCTCTCCCCAGGCCCTAAAGCTGAACATACAGAAATCTTACAATCTGGGTTGGAGAGATGGCTCAGAGGTTAAGAGCACTGGCTGCTCTTCCAAAGGTCTTGGGTTCAATTCCCAGCAATCACATGGTGGCTCACAACCATCTGTAATGAGATCTGGTACCCTCTTCCGGCCTGCAGGGATACATGCAGACAGAATACTGTATACCTAATAAATATTTTTTAAAAAATCTTACAATCTGTTCCATTCAACTCTATTACTAGTTACTTCCTCAAGAGACAGTTCATGTCCAAAGAGACCTATCTACAGGGTTCATACATATTTTATTCGCAGTAACAAAACTAGAAATATCTGAGTTAAAGATAGATAAAAAGTTGCCGGGCGTTGGTGGCACACGCCTTTAATCCCAGCACTCAGGAGATAGAGGCAGACAGATCTCTGTGAGTTCAAGGCCAGCCTGGTCTACAGCGTGAGTTCCAGGACAGCCTCCAAAGCAATACAGAGAAACTGTCTAGAGAAACCAAAAATAAAAAATAAAAAAACAAAAAATAGATAGATAAAAAGTTATATACCACTTGGCAAAATATCCATCATATTAAATAGAGGAGGAAAGCTGGTCAGTAGTCTATGGACAACACATGGGTTTCATCTAGCAAGACTGGTTGAATTGTATACTTAACAGGGTAAACTTATTGAATGTAAAATATATCTCTGTGCAGTTGAAAATAATTGTGTTATTTCACACTTGCCTACTTTACAGGGTTAACAGCCTTATAGTCTCTCTAGAGCCTCCTCTCACCATACACAGACCCATAGACTGTCAGCCTGCTGAACACTTCTAGTGTGTACATCACACAAGCTCCTTCAAATATTTAGAGCTGAATTTATGAATACTATCCTCAAGAGACATTCTCTTTCTGCTCCTTAACTAAGGCAATGATTGTATTGACCCCTCCTCGTCTGATAGCTCAGCAATCACCTCTGAATACTCTTCTGTTCCATCCTTCCTGTCATTCAAGTTTTTCAACCTCAGCTGACCATTTCAGCCCCTGCCTGTCAGGGGCCTGCCTTGATTTCCAATAGAGCTCAGGGTCTTCATGAGGTACACTGGGCTCAGTGGCAGCCACTTGGAGTGAGCATTCAACTCCTCGCCCCGACTGGAACCCAAAGGTACGACTATCTGGCCATGTCTTCCCTATCAGCAGTCACTCTGTGGTGCTTCCATCTCACTTCACTGCAGAGACACCTGGCCAAGCTGAAATTATCATATGCTTTCTTCTGCTAATTTGTAACAGATAGGTCCAATAAGGAAATATTAGTTCCAATCTACTTACTGTACTCTTCTACAAGATGTGTCTCAATTGAAAGTTAAATGAAAATATCCTCTGGAAAAGGAAATGCTATATAAACTCTTTCATCTAAAATATAACTGTAGCCGGGCGTTGGTGGTGCACGCCTTTAATCCTAGCACTCGGGAGGCAGAGGCAGGCGGATCTCTGTGAGGTGGAGGCCAGCCTGGTCTACAAGAGCTAGTTCCAGGACAGTCTCCAAAGCCACAGACAAACCCTGCCTCAAAAAACAAATAAAAAAATAAAAATAAATAAAGTAAAATATAACTGTTACATAGTAAATGCTTCTAGAGCACAGAGCAGAGACAAAGGAGCACAAATATGAACTCAAAAGGTGGACAACTATAATCAGTCCGGGTGGCCTAACATCCAATTCATAGTTCTCTTTCAGTTTGTACTTAGGACTCACTTTCTTCTTCCCTTTGGGGCCGTCGAGAAGGCTCAGTAGGCAAAGGCACTTGTTGCCAAGACTGATGGTCTGGTTTTATTCCTGATACCCACCAAGGTGGAAGGAGAGAACCACCTCGTGCATGTCCCCTAATCTCCATGAGCATGCTTGTAGGTGCTGTCTCTCTCTCTCCATCTTTGTATATCTCTCTCTGTGTCTTCCTCCCTCTGTTACACAAACACATAGTGTTAAAACATAAAAGGGATTTTCATCATCTGGAAAGTTTTCCTTCAAGTGGCACAAGAAATGACTGACATTAACCCCTGCAGGAATGAGGGGTGTGACAGTACTACCTGGCTCCAACGTGAACAATATTTACATCATCACAACTGGACAAATGCTTCCTTTAGTTTTTACAGTCAACTTCAACATGAAAATTAGAAATATGGTTTTGTTAGAATATACATTATATAAGTCTTGATAACATAAAAAAAAAGTACAGCTAACAAAAATTGGAGGGTAGGGAGGAATTTCTTTTGGGGGGGGTGGTTCGAGGCAGGGTTTCTCTGTGGCTTTGGAGGCTGTTCTGGGAACTAGCCCTTGTAGAGCAGGCTGGTCTTGAATTCAAAGAAATCTGCCTGCCTCTGCCTCCCAAGTGCTGGGATTAAAGGCATGTGCCACCACTGCCCAGCGGGAGGAATTTCTTAACATCCTCATAGACCAAAAGCAGGAACTGAAAGACAGTGGCTAAAAACAAATATATCACCAACAAAACACATGAAAGAGAAGTTTGCATACGGTAACTTCTGAAGAACTGGCCAGGGTTTAGGAAATGGAGAGAATTTATTTAGTACAAGCTCTTTAGGATAAAGATTTTGTTTTGCTTTGACATGTATAAGTGTATAGCACACACATATATAGAAGCATATATACACATATATCTGTAAAATTTTGATTAAAAACCAGTACTCATTCCAGGTAGTTTGGTGTCCAGGATAAATGTGTCATTACTCTGTTGCGGCCTCTTAGGCCCATCAGCAATTCCCGAAGTCTACCTGGGCAAGACTGTTGCCATGATAGTTACCAGTGAATCAGGGAGGTGCCCTGCAAACCACACCAACAAAGATCTTGCTTCACACAATTCATACTATTCTCCAGATCCTTAGCATTTAGATGAATGAAGACCAAGGTCAGAAAACAGCCCTTGAGGAACACCAACACCAACACATACACACACCTTCTCTCTCTCTCTCTCTCTCTCTCTCTCTCTCTCTCTCTACACACACACACACACACAGAAAGAGATAGAGAGAATCTGCATTAGTGCTATTTTGGCCAATGCTCTACTTATCCAGATTTATTTCCTTTATGATCATTAAAGCTCACTTAAACAAGAAGCCAAAAATACATAAACTTTGATTTTATAAAGGCTCTAAAAAACAATAAGGTACAAAAAGTAAGTAAACATCTACAATTAGCAGAACATTTATGACCTTATATAATTTCATGTGTAGGAAAACAGGCAGAGAAAGACTACAAATAAATTATAACCTGAAGACATATTATGACCTGAAGGCATACATATAAAAAAATTCCTTGAGTTATTTATTAGAATCTTCCAGAAAGGTGAAAGGAATGTTGCTAAGGTAATATCAAGTGTGGCCATAGTCTGACAGTGCTGTCTTGACCTTCCGGGCTGCAGTGTCAGTTTAAGAGGCACTGGACACAGCCAGC